AAAAATAGGAGATGCTAATGCAGAAAAAGAACTTTTAGATTTGACGGATAATTATGTAATTGAAAATAGCATAAAGAAAGTGATTAAAGATAAAAAGAGAAATGCAATATCTAAGGTGCGAAAATCAGCTACACCAGAAAAGTGCAACGATACAGTATCTAAACAAAAACATGACGGATTTATTGAAATTAGTGAGACAGTTTGCGAAGAAATAGATGTTTCTATTGTAGACGTTGTACCTACAGTAAAGAAATACACACAAAATAAGAAACTTAGATCACCGCAATCAGAGCCGTGGTGGAAAACAGCACTTACTCTTAGTTACCTTAAAATCGCTGCACCACATCACAAGAAACTATGGGAAGATAAATACAATAAAGCTCGCAAATATCTTTCTAAACAAATTGGAGATGCTGCAGTAGAAAAAGAATTATTGGATTGCAGCGACAAGTATGTCGTTGATAATGTCACTAAAAAGGTTGAGAAAGATCACAAAAAAGACGCTGCAATTACTATCGTTCAGGAAGCAGCTTCTCCTGAGAAACACAAAGAAATTGTGTCTAAACAAAAAGATGATGGTAGTATTGAGTTAGATGATACAGTGTGTAAAGAATTAGACTTTCCCAAAGAAGATATTATCACCACAATTCAAAAGAACATTACTAATAAAAAACTTCAATTACCTCAACTCCCTTCATTACTTTCAACTGCTGTTAACCTCTCATATCTGAAGAATGCTGCATCTCAATATGAAGGTAAATGGAGAGATAAATATAATAAGGCTCGTAAATATCTTTCAAAACAAATTGGAGATAAAAATGCTGAAGAGGAATTAATAAAATTTGCCGATGAGTATGTAGTTGATAAATTAACAGACAAAGTAATTGAGGAAAAAAAACGTGATGTAATTGATCTTAAGAAAGCCCACGAATATCTTTCTAACCAAATCCGAGATACTACGGCAGATTGTACCGATAAATACGCTGTTGATAATGCTACCGAAAAGTTTGAAAAAGATCATAAAAAAGACGCTGCAATTACCATCGTTCAAAAATCAACTTCTTCCGAGAAATGTGAAGAAATTGTATCTAAACAAAAAGATGATGGTAGTATTGAATTAGATGATTCGATATGCAATGAATTAGACGCCTCCAAAGAAGAAATTATTATTACAATTCAAAAGAAAGTTAAAAATAGTAAACTTAAATCACTCGAGTATTCATCAAGTCTTGCAACTGCAATTAATATTTCATACCTTAAAAATATTGCACCCCATCACGAAGGTTTATGGAAGGATAAATATAATAAAGCCCGCGAATACCTTTCTAGGCAAATTGAAGATAAAAATGCTGAAGAGGACTTAATAAAATGTGCCGATGAATACATAATTGTTAAAGTAATAAACAAAGTAATTGAAAATGAAGTACCTAAGTCTGAAAAACCTAAAGGCTTTGTCAATGGTATTTATGAGGTGGCTCGAAAACTTGGTGATCAAGTTGAACGTGCCCTTACATTCAATAAAGACAAACTTGATGATAATGAGAAAGCGGAAGCTCTCATTATCGTTGGAGAAGCAGCCACTCCAGAAAAATGTAAGGAAATCATCTCGAACCAAAAAGATGATGGTTTTATTGAATTGGGTGATTCAGTTTGTAATGAACTAGATACTCCAAAAGAAGAAATTATTACAACAATTCAAAAGAAGATTAAAAATGATAAACTTAAATCACCCGAGCACTCATCATGTCTTGCAACTGCAATTAATCTTGCATACCTTAAGAAAGCTGCACCCCATCACGAAGGTTTATGGAAAGATAGATATACTAAAGCCCGTGAATATCTTTCTAAACAAATAGGAGATAAAATTGCTGAAGAGGAATTAATAAAATGTGCTGATGATTACGTAGTTGAAAATTGCACAAAGAAAGTAATTAAAAATAAAAAGAGAAATGCGGTAGTTACCGTGCAAAATTCAACTACACCAGAAAAATGTTACGATGCCATTTCTAAACAAAATGATGACGGATCTTTTGAAATTAGTGAAACGATTTGTAAAGAAATAGATGTTCTCATTACAGAAGTCGTAACTACAGTAAAGAAAGATACACAAAATGAGAAACTTAAATCTCCCGATTCAGAACCGTGGTGGAAAACAGCACTTATTCTTAGTTACCTTAAAGTCGCTGCACCTCATTACGAAAATCTATGGAACGATAAATACAATAAAGCTCGCGATTATCTTTCTAAACAAATTGGAAATCCTGCAGCAGAAAAAGAATTATTAGATTGCACTGATAAATACATTGTTGATAATGTCACTAAGAAGGTTGTAAAAGATTATAAGAAAGCCGTTACAATTCCTATTGTTCAAGAAGCAGCTTCTCCCGAGAAATGTGAAGAAATTGAATTGGATGATTCAGTATGTAAAGAATTAGATGCTCCTAAAGAAGATATTATTATTATTGTCACAAAGAAAAAATATCAATTACACAAGGTTTCAAAAACTCTTGTAACCGCTATTAACCCCTCAGATCTGAAAAATGCAGCGTCTCAATATGAAGATGGATGGAGATATACGTATAATAAAACTCGTGAATATTTTTCTAAAAAAATTGGAAATGAGGATACTGATAAAAATGTAGTTGATGATGTTACTAAAAAGGTTGTTCAGGAAGTAGCTTCTACAGGGAAATGTAATCACAGTGTACCTAAACAGAAAGATGATGATAGTATTGAATTAGATGATTCGGTATGCAATGAATTAGAAGTTCTCAAAGAAGAAATTATAGTATTGCTAAAATTAAAAAGAAAGCTAACTAACAATAAACTTAAATCACGCTAGTTCTCATCAAGTTCCGAGGAAGAGGAAGAACCTGAAAAGCAAATTGAGTATGAAAAAGTGAATAAGGGTAAGATTGCATCATACTATCATCATAAAATTTTGGAATTACAGTAATTATAAAAACAAGTCTCATTTTTGCTTTATAACTTTAAATAGATAAAAGATATGTAACTCAAAAATACACATTTACACCTGAAGGTAAATAACTTATTTTTTTTATTTTTTCTAAAATTAAAGATTTGATTATTGTTTTGATTAATTCATTTATTCTAGATTTGTTGAAGTTGATAAAGAGCAAACAAAACAACTAAATACTTTCAAGATTTTTTATAATTTTATATTATTTGCTAGTAAACAAAGTATAAATATTAGTAAAGTTCAATACTTGATTTTTCAAAAATTTCTTATTAAAGAATTTTTTTTTAATAATACTAAATCAAATTTTAGTTAATTATTAATTCTTATTTTATAAATTATAAATTGGGTTTTAATATTGCACAGGCATTAAAAAAAAAAATAAATAAATAATAAATATATATATTTGTTAATTTTTTATTATATTTGTATCGACAATTCATGTAAATTTAAAGAAACTTCAATTGTTAACGCTGTAAGTCCATAAAGTTTTAATGCTTTTAATGTGGGCTAGGTGCTGCAAAAAGGGACCAAATTGACAATTTTTTCAAAAGATATTTTTTCACATAAATCAATTTAGAAT